CCCCATCACTTTTCTAATAGTCCGTCCCTTAGAGGTGTGCATCGGATCGAATTGGACGTTTATAATCCGACAATTGGCTAATGTTTAAAATCCGATCCGACAATTGGCTAATGTTTAAAATCCGATCCGAAATTGTCTAATGCGAATCCGATCCGATCCGAGTTTTGATAAAGAATTCCGATCCGATCCGAAGAATCCTTTAATAAAATAAATTTCTCATTCATGTGGAAATATTTAACCTAATAAATATAAAAGCAAGAAATACATGTCAAGAAGCTGACAAAGTGACGTCCAATTGAAGTATCAAACGAATAATGCAGCGACAACCGCGATAATGCTTTGATAAATGCATGGCTAATTACATTCAAACCGGATGTTCTCTTGCGAGCAACATTGCAATATTGTCCCACAATATTGCAATTTTGATAGGCAGATTGCTCAGAGCAATTTGCAACCGACGCGAACAAATTGCAAGTTGAAATTCACAAAAGATTTGTAAACAAAGCCTCTGATTGGACTATAAGAAAGAGGGAAGCACCAATCCAGTTGCTCAGCTTCGCTCTTTCTTATAGTCCAATCAGAGGCTTTGTTTACAAATCTTTTGTGAATTTCAACTTGCAATTTGTTCGCGTCGGTTGCAAATTGCTCAGAGCATTCTGCCTATCAAAATTGCAATAGTGTGGGACAATATTGCAATGTTGGTCGCAAGAGAACATCCTGTTTGACTGTAATTCTTGCGATAATGTGTGGATAATTAATTCATTTTATTTCGAATATCGAAGTCCGATCCGACTACGAAACAACTTTATCAATCCGATTCGAAACGTATATTTTTTATCCGAAATCCGATCGGATTCGGATTTGCACACCTCTATTTTATATACGACAAGTTATGCATGACGTGGCAAGTGTTCAATTGCACATGTATCGAACCACGTGACCATTGGTTCAAGAACATTTTCTGGGTTCCCAGAAAATATTTCCCCAATTCACTATGCCCAATTACAATATAAATCGTGTCAATCTGAAAATCTATGAAATATTATTTTAAGACTGTTCATAATATCTTGATTGCTTGCCACGAACTTCCACGGGCGACCACGCCCTGCTGTCTGCTGCCAGGGACATTAAGTATGGTGAAACCTAAACGGAATTAAAATAATAGAGTACAAATTAGGGGCTGTTTACATGAGCCCTACCGGGAGGGCTGAGTAGGGCTAATTTCCACCGCTTGTTTACATGAGAAAAATCAGCCCTACTGGTAGGGATAGCTTCCTTTCGCAAGTAGCACTTAAATGGCTTCCGTGCGACTCGTTATTTTTATTTTGGCGTCCAAAATCATAGTTTGCCGACTAAATTTTGGAATAAAAGCCAACAGATATTTGAATATCCGTTTAGAACTACATCCTTAAAACAAAAAAAGGTTCAAAGAGTTTAGTCTAAAATCGATTCGACGGCTTTTTCACTCAGCCCTACTAGGAGGAGGGCCAGCCCTCTCTACTGCGTTTATATGAGAAAATTCCAGCCCTACTAGGCGAGATCTCGGGTGAATAATAGTGAGATCTCGCCTAGGAGAGCTGGCCCTCCTCAAGTATTTCAATAAGGATTTCAAATAGCACGCGGGATCTCGCCTAGTAGGGCCAGCTAGCCCTCCCTGTAGGGCTCATGTAAACAGCCCGTAAATTAATACCTATAGATGGCATTCGAAGACTTCAGACGTGCGCCAGCGAATGAGTAATTCGAGCTATAGACTAAATTTTGATCAAGGCAAGAAGAACGAAATCCAACACCACAGCTAGAAAGAGCGTCTTAGAATGAGTAAAACTGCAAAGATTGGTTGCTAAATGTTGTGAATTGAAGAAAATATAGCCCTGCGAAGTTCGAAAATTTTGTATATATTTGTATTACGCGCGGTAAAAATAGCCACTTTCGGCTCAAGAATGGTTATTTTTCCCGCGCGTAATTCAAATATATGCAAAATTTGCGAACTTCACAGGGCTATATTTTCCTCATTTTACAACAATTTGCAACCAAACTTTGCAATTTTACTCATTCTAAGATGCTCTTTCCAGCTATGGTCCGTGTTGGATTTCGTTCTTCTTGTCTGGAATCATACATTAAGTCATGTATCATGTATACTTAAATAGAATGGGCTTAAAGGACCGGTCGTAATTTATGGCGTGGGATAGCACCAAACAGAAATGTATTTCTTGGTAAAACGTTTGCTGACCCAACCATTAAAAAGTCCAAAATTTCTTTTATCCAACCTCAAATATCAATTAAAAAATAAATACCCATCCGTGGCCAAAAACTTTACAAAAGGATACCATTCAGTTGTCACACATGTCCTTTACCACTTCTGTGACACGAGTTTGATAACTGCTTGTGCAATTTTCTGCAGTCTAAAGTTTCATGTTGTCTGCATATGTACTTTCTTTGGAGACACCATTTGCCTCTTGACAAATCGGAAAATGATCAAGATATAGTGACTCTGATTGATTTACATATCGTATTGACATATGACTGTTGACATGCTTTGGAAATGATGATAAGTTTTTATGACCCAACCCTCGAGTTGTTTTGTTTTTCATTTACCCAACCTTTTACTCACTCAAAATTTTGTTTACCCAACTCTTTTCTCTTCGTTGCCAGCCCCCGCCATAAATTTAATGACCTGTCCCCAAGCTAACAACACAAATGTTTATGGTCATTACGAGTTAATTTGGTTCACATTTTTATTGGTATAGAATTGGATTTATAGGATGTCCTAACTATGTACATGCTTTACCTGTTTGACATTACAGCGACATGGTGTGCCATTATAATTGTTCAAAATTGTCAGTGAGCTCCGTAATTTGATCAAATCGCTAAGGTGGGGAGAATAGTTACTTTAGAAAAGTTATTTTGTTGAATTTCAACCGAAGTAGCAAAGATGGAATGATTCAAACTGCTGGATCTCTGGAGAGAACAGTTTAGAACTGATAGAGCTATCCAGTATAAATAAAGTTAGTTTAGTTTAGGTTTCCTCCTGTAGTAACACTGTATCAATAAGAGATGATCCTTACTGGACCTCTAGAGAGAACAGTTTAGAACTGATAGAGCTATCCAGTATAAATAAAGTTAGTTTAGTTTAGGTTTCCTCCTGTAGTAACACTGGATCAATAGGAGATGATCCTTACTGGACCTCTAGAGAGAACAGTTTAGAACTGATAGAGCTACCCAGTATAAATAAAGTTAGTTTAGTTTAGGTTTCCTCCTGTAGTAACACTGGATCAATAAAAGATGATCCTTACTGGACCTCTAGAGAGCACAGTTTAGAACTGATAGAGCTACCCAGTATAAATAAAGTTAGTTTAGTTTAGGTTTCCTCCTGTACTAACACTGAATCAATAAGAGATGATCCTTACTGGACCTCTAGAGAGAACAGTTTAAAACTGATAGATCTACCAGGCAGTATACTGAGTATAGTACTAACTATAGTTTATTAGTCAAGATTTAGTTTTGAAGATTAGTTACCTAGATTTTACTCTCAATATAATTTCGCCACTCGTTTTTTCACATTTTAAAACATCAACGGTAATTGCAGCCCCAACCTGTTTCACGGTTAAGATTTAAACTTTAGACACCAACAACAACAACTACTACAAAAGTAATGACAAACAACAGCAGAAATCACAACAAACAAACAAACAATAACAACAAGATGGCTATAACAGTGTATTTCATACCAAGCCATGTAACTGTTTTAGAGCATTGACAATTAAACTTTTCAATTTCACACGTTCCAGCACAATGTACTTTATTGTTCCATTTTCCTCTTGTTCTCTAGTGAGAAGACAGCTTCCAGTTTTATTATACAAAACCTAGTATGAACTAGATTAACCTAGACATTTAAATTAACAAATTGCTGGAGAAATAAGGGGTGGGCCCCCTTATTTAGTTTAGGTTTCCTCCTGTAGTAACACTGGATCAATAAGATATGATCCTTCTGGACCTCTAGAAAGAACAGTTTAGAACTAATAGAGCTATCCAGTATAAATAAAGTTAGTTTAGTTTAGGTTTCCTCTTGCAGTAACACTGGATCAATAAGAGATGATTCTTACTGGACCTCTAGGAAGAACAGTTTAGAACTAATAGAGCTATCCAGTATAAATAAAGTTTGTTTAGTTTAGGTTCTCCTGCAATAACACTGGATCAATAAAAGAAGAAGAATAATCTAGAACTGGTCGAGATTCCAGTACAACATTTAACTAGTAACTCAACTTATGCTGACTGGAATGGGTTTGCATGTCGCCCAAAATATTCACATGGCTAAGGAGCTGTTTACATGGTCCTGCTTTGTTGGTACAAAATGTGAGACAGGAATCACAGGATCGATGATTTTATGTATTGAAATAAGTCCTACTGTATTGCATTATTCAGTAAAACTACATAATTTTCCCAGTGATTATAGTATAATTGTAAACGAAGGTTGTTCAAGCAGCAATAATAATCTTCTTGAAATACGAGATCTCTCCTACTTTGGAGTCCTTTTAACCAGGTTTGATATAATTTATTATGCCCAGTGATATATTTCAATACATAAAACTCATGCCGCCTTTCATCGAGTCATGTCAAAAACCACTAGATTGCAAGAGAATCATCAAGGGGATATGAATTTATCATTGGTATTATGATAGGGTGGGGAGGAATTGAAAACAGAAATCGCTCAACAATTCTTACTGTCTAATGCGGGCCGGATCTAGCCTTATCTGTAAGGAGGGGTGCAGGTTTTCCACAGGGTCATGCATGATGGAGTCTGAGAGCCTTACTGTCCACTCTCCTCTGCAGTCTGCAACGCTACTATCCCAACATTTATTACCATTAATCTGCATGTTTGCCGTTCTGTTATGTTTTACATTATCTTTTTCCATGTATGTGTGACCCGACAATAGCTGTACAGGCCTGGCCTGCAAATTACTGTCGGACATCTGACAATGTCCAACTAAATTTGGCAAATGTCTGAGCAAAAGTAATTTTGATCGGACATTGGTCCAATCACAAAAAAAAATTGTCGCATGCATTTTATTGCTGTGACAAAATCCGATTGCAAATTCACTCAATTTGCATTTTGCAATAAAATGTACGAGGCATTCTAGCATTTTACTTAACGTTGTGCCAGAATGGCTATACCTACTTGTCTCGCAACTTATATATCTTGTGACGTATACTGTATATGTCTGACCAAATTTAGTGGTGTTGGTTTTTGTCCGACCAAATTCAAGTCGTGTCCGACCAAAATTAAAAGTGATCGGACAAATGTCCTGTCAAGTCAAATATTTATTTGCAGCCCTGGCTGTAGCACAGTACAGTAAATTTGCTTTTTAACGTACAGTATATTTGAAATTATGGCTGTACAATGGCTTCGACAAGTTTACATACTTAAATTAACCATGATCTATTTAACTAAAGCATTCTGATTATTTTCTTGTGAGCTCACAAATCAATCAAATCATTTCAAGAAATAAACATACAGTGTTAACAGTAGAAGTATTGCTAATCACTATTTGAAACTCAAGCACAGAACACCACTGGGGGGTGTACTCCAGGGTTTGTGATTGTTCCGCAAGATTTACCTGGGGGCGACTGCAGTTCGATTTGACTTGAACATTAATCATAATTACTTTCACACTGATAGAAACTAACACAGCTTGTCAACAAAATGTGTTCGCACTGCTTGTTCCCAGTTGACAAGTCTGGAACAAGTCGTTATCATCTTGTAACAAGGTTGATGAGGCCAACAGACTCGCAACAAGTTGTTCCAACATATCGTCTGCACGTAACAAGTTGTTAAAAAGTTGATGACAACAAGCTCGTAGCAACTTGTTACGAACAGCCTGTATTAGTCTTGTTGGAACAACTTGTAGCAAGTCTGTTACCGCCGTCATCAACCTTGTTCCAATGTAACAATTAACAACTGTAGTTGCATAAATATCAACTAACACATAACTTACAAGACACATTTAAGATAATAATATTCGCTCTTCTGTTTAGCTGTGACTCTACTTGACATCCTGTTGTAGTATCAATATTTAGATCGCAAAAGATTGTATTTTCCCACCATTTTTCAATGTTTAGTCCAATTGTCATGCATTAGGGCGCTAGACTGTAATCATTTTTTGGTGGATCGCCGCTGGAATAGTGATGGCTGCTTGTGGGCGCACGTACATAGAAAGACGTCATATTGTGGTTCAAGAATGACGTCTTTAGTCCGTGCAAGAAAAATACCAAAATTAGCTTGGCGCCATGTTCTTAGCAAGCGCCCTAAAGAGAGGCATTCACCCCCCTGGAACATTAAATTTCCGTATGTTTTCAGGGGGGTGACGGCCTTAGCAAGTTCTTAGCCATGTTCTTAGAAAGTGCCCCTAAAGAAGGACCGTCATCCCCCCTGAAAACATATTGAAATTTAAAGTTCGGGGGGGGTGAATGCCTCCGTATGCGCTTTAAAAACGACCTTTTCGCACAAGTGAGACCTTTATTTGTGTGAAGTTAACACTCTGTGCTTGAGCTATGCAAATTTTTAGTCATTCAAACCTTTAAAAATTTATTACTAGTATCTTTAGACTATCTAAGTTTGGCCAGCTTGGCCCAAAAACAGAACGGAAAACATGTAAGAAAAAACTTCAGAAAAAATCCGTACAGTCCAAAATACATAAGTATATTGGCCCATATAGTCTAAAATAATGTCTTTGTACTTTTTATGTTGGAACAAGTGATGTTTCTTAGGTCAACGAACTTTTCCCTTTTACATAAGTATTGTTTTTACTTCAATCTTCATACTCATACGGTACTTGAGGAAGCGTGTAACTGTAAGAAACATTTTAGAGAAGTAATGAGCAAACCTCATCAGAAGTAGTATTCATCTTTTGCCACAAAAACAGGAGGCACATTACTGTCATACTGATAATATTTAAGACACCCTCGCGTAGTTTTTGCTGAATATACCAAACAGAATAGTTAGTACTATCAATGATGTTTTAAATACTTTTTTCTAATATACATACTTTTCTAATATATAATTAAGTTTCTGCTTGGTTTTTTTTAAGTAGTAATGTAACCACTCAGCCCAGCAATTTCACATGATTTGGTACAACCCACACTGATACAGACACTCAGACAGTTTTTCTAATCTACAATTTTGTTTATTTGTTTAAATCGTACATACTGAGTATATTTGCATTGTAATCTTGCACGCTTCTAAGGCTTAAAGCTGTAAAGTCTGTAAAGTGTATCCTTTAATAAACCATCTATCCTGCATCTACGAACTGTGTGTCGCCTAGCTCATAACCTTAATGACTATATTTGTACAAGAATAAAATTAGTAAACCCAAAGCTATCATCGAAGTGAGTCCGTAGATAAGTCTGTCTTGTACTTGAACAGAAAATCCCTGCCCTGTTTTAAGCCATGTTGCAAACGTTTCACAGTTGTTGTATATGATATGAAATTTCGGCCATTCCTCGGGACGTTCCAAGACTTTGTTCGCTCTGACCAACGTGTCGTGGACTCTCAAAACTGTCGCTGTATTTCTGTAAATAACTTTGTATATTTTGCCGTCCACTTCACTCCGTGAACGGAATTCTTCGACATTACATCTGCGAGGTTTTGCATCGGCCTTGCTTTCCCCATGGAAATTAATCACTTGGCCGTTGCCTAAGTAAACGCCGTGATGGTAATAATAGCGGCCGTCGGGATTGATTACGGGGAGGAGAAATATTAATAGCGGTTCCAAATTTTTAACGAAACTTTTTACCGCAATTTGCGTTCCGGGCGGCAAATCGGAAATTGTGTCAAGTTCGACTAAACTGTACTCCATAATTGCCTTTCTGGACTGCTAACCAGTATAGAGGTCTCACTTCACGAGAAAAATGCACCATATAGACACAGAATATTACACAGAAGTCCATCTCCAATGCTTTTTGCGTAAGCGCTATTCGTCATGATTCCGTCACTCGGCAAGTACCGTAAACAGAAGCAGTCCCCCCTGGAAATACTAAAAATGGCACACGTCCAGGGGGTGACTGCTTCTGTTTACGGTACTTGCCGAGTGACGAATCGTGACAAATAGAGCTTACGCAAAAAGCAATGGAGATGGACTTCTGTGTGAGTATTCTGTGATATAGAGGTCTCACTTCGCGAGAGAAAACGCGCCATATACAGTAGAGGCAGTGAACTCTAATTAGAGTTCACTGTATAGAGGTCTCACTTCGCGAGAAAAACGCAAAGTAGTTTTTCGCGGCTGCGCATGGCTGGCGGCCATATTCTTAGCAAGTGCCCTAAAGCAAGGAATTCACCCCCTGGAACATTAAATTTTAATATGTTTTCAGGGGGTAACAGCCTCTTTTTGGGGCACTTGCTAAGAATTACATGACGCACTGGAAAAATCCCTTAATAAATAAGAAGTGAGACCTCTGTATGGTATTTACTCTGTGAGTATGCCATGTCACCATCCATTATATTAAAACATTACATACATGAATATATAGGAAATATATAGTTCAGTGTTGAAGAGCAGGCACAGAAGAGGCCCTACATTTTACGGGCTAATGCGTGCAAGACGTACAGATTCAGTTTCTAATTAAACTTCCAAGACATTTATACTTCAAGCTGGTTTTATACATTATCAAAGTTTTTGTGATCACAATTCTAAATTTTGTGTTTCAACAAGTAATAATTGCTCAAAAATACCAATCGAAATTTCAACCGTAAGAAATATGCTCTTACAAATCCTTCAAAACTTAGAATTTTACACCTATGGCTATGCAAAATTCCTACTGCAATCACAGAAACTTAGATAGTGTAAACTGTAAACCAGGCTTTGACTCAATAACAGTGAGATTATAAACACAATAATGAAAGGAATTAAATAAATTTAATAGCCTGCGAGGCAAGCTCTAGCTCGAAACAGTTTTTTAAGAAATAGAAAATTCGCGATTTCGATTCGTATTTTTGAACAATTATTACTTGTTGAAACACAAAAAATAAGTTACTGATGTAAAACACCTACATATATGTAAAACACCTCTACACAATTATGTTATATTCTGTTTTAATATGAATGACATCTTTCAAATAAGTAATTAAGATGGCACTTGAAGAAGGTCTCACAACTGATTATAAATAAAAAGAAACTTGAACAGAGACAGTGTTTCAATCTGGCAATTTAGAAATTTAGAACAACAATGACAATGTAGCAGGTGGTCCTGCTATGCAATATTTTGTTTTTAATTATTCAAACCTTTAGAAATTATATATTCTTTAGACTAAGTTTAGCGGTTGCCACGGCTGCTAGCTTACAAGAGAAAAAAATCCATATGAGAAAAGAATTCGGAAAAATCCATACAGCCAGAATATGGTTTGTCCCTAAGTATATTAATATATAGTCTAAAATAACAAAGTCATTGTACTTTTTATGTTAGGATGCATGTGTAGTGCACTGGTGATCTTAGTAGTTGTGTCAATGAACTTTTCCCTTCTATAAAGTATTGTTTGCCATTTGTTGGATTCATCTGGAATATTGTATATACAAGATTGCGACTAAAACGACCATTAAACCTACACAAGCCACCGTAGGTATTGCATACGAGATTGCATTTGATGCTTGAACCGACTTTTTCTGTCCTGTTTTAAGCCAACATGCAAACGATTCACAGTTGTTGTCTAGGATATGATATTTGGGCCATTTGTCAGGTTGGTTTATCACTTCCTCCGCTTTCGCCACCGTTTGGTTGAGAGGCAAAACTCTTTCTTTATTCTTGTAAACAACTTTATATAGTGCCCCACGGTCTTCACCCCGTGAGCGGAACTCGTTAATATCACATTTGCGAGGTTTTGCATCCGCCTTGTTCTCTTCTGCGGAGAAATGAATCACTTCACAACTGCTTAAATGCACCCCATGATGATAATAATACCCGTCAGGACTTACTACAGGGTAAAGATACTTTAATCGCGGATCCAAATTTTTTAACAAACCTTTTACTGCAATTTGGGTTCCTGGAGGCAAACATTCACATACATTGACTCGGACTAAATCGTACTCCATCTTGAAATGGCAGATTGCATTACGGGGGATGAGGACATCTTTTTACCAGCTAAGTTTTAACTGCCAGATACTACTGGAAAATGGCTTTAATCACCCCACCCCTTGGACTTCTGCTGTCTTTTTTACCCCTCCCCTGGATTTTCTAAGGCCTTTTTTAGCTCTACGCAAATCAATATATATATATGCCTACTCTATGACGCAATATATATAGAAATAAATGACGTCATATCTTAATTATGATTTCCAAAACAGTGGGTTATCGTTCTACCTATGTTTCGCGCATCAATATAGGTTAGGTTAGGGTTAGGTTTAAGGACCTGTAAGGTTAGAGTTAGGGTGTGTATAAATGTATATGGAGGTATCCAGTTGACTTTGCAGTACGTACACTATAATATCCATTGTATAACGTTTACTATATTGGTGCGCGAAACATGGAACGATTACCAACAAAATCAGCAAATGGTTGTCACTCGCTTTTTTTCTCCCAAAATTAATTTCAACCAAAGTAATCACTGCCGCTTTATAGACTAACAGTTCTACAAAATATAAGTATAATACCACTGATATATTCTCTTTGAGAAATTAAATGTTAAGGCCCATGTCCACTCAGGAAAATTTTCCGCAGAAAGCATATTTTGTAAAATGTGATTGGCCGACACAAATTTTCGGAAAATTTTCTGTCTGGAAATTTTTCAGCCTTGAGTGGAAATGAGCCTTAAAGAATACCGAAAGTACCGACGTTTATGCTAATTTAACAAACAAACATGACCAACTTCGTTTTGGCGCTTTTTGCACATTTCATGGATTGCAGTTTTCGATCTTAAACATTTACAGTTTGCTTTAAATAACAGTCGTTGTTGAAACATGGTTTATTAATATTAGCCTGGAAATGCATGACCATAATGTAAAATTGCGGCAGTAGTTTTCGAATCGGTCACTCGAGGATGTAATTGTTCTCCTCAGATTGGGCGGGAAGGGTGGAAAAATCAAAGGGAAACTTGCATTGCATGAAAACAAGGATGCTCATTTATTTGATACAAAATTGTGATCAACGAAATAGACCTTTCCGGTAATTACGTCACAACTACACTGTTTTCAACTCAGAAAAGTTTGTTTCTCACGGGCAATGGTCAGAGAAGCAGAACATCCTTCGTCAAAACATGCATAAAAAAGAATTTTGGATTTTGACTATTAAATGTGGAAATAAGCTTAAACACGAAAAAGAGGCTTCGTGTTTGAGCTTATTTCTTGTTTTTGTCAAGGGGAGAGCGCGCTGGCGGTCATTATTCCAGTAATAGCTTTCGCTAATTTTCCACTATATAATTAAATATATTTACATGCAGTATAATTTACATTTCTATACCTATTTACATAAAGTACATATCTATAGGTATAACAAATTAGAATTAACATACATCTTTAATAAGAGTTATTTTTATACATATCTAAAAACAATTTATAGGCTTTACGCTTGAAATGAGCTGGAAGATCTTATATCTCGTGGCAACACATTATGAAAATATGCTCAACTGTACCGAAGTCCACTCCTGGTGATTGTTAGTTTATGGTTTGGTACCCCCCATAAGTCCATATTGGCAGTGCTTGTATGTCGCTGGGAAACTGTTGACAATGGTTTGAACATATTACTTAAAGGTGATCTACAGTCCGATCTGCGCATGTGCACAAATGAGCCCACTTTTTATGATACAAACAGTTTAACTATGTTTTGAGTTCTTGAAAAGCCTAATTGTTGTTTCTTGATCATTTATTATACTCTAGAAGCTTGAAAATATAAATAGTTGTCGAATAAAGCTCAATATTTTGGACACAAACATGTAAACAAAGGCATACGGACTGTAGATCACCTTTAAATAGTCTGGATTCAAGTTATTTAAAGATTTATAAACTAGGCAAACCACCTTATACATAACTCTGTACTTTATCGGTAAAATGTTTGGCTGTTCGAAAAGTGGTTTAGATGGAGAAAGTTTAGATTTATCATAAATTAAATTAAATTTTTGTAGTTTATATATTCTTGAAGTGTGTGGTGATTGTCCCCAAACGGTGCAGCAATAATCAATCCTTCGTTGAAAGAACGTTTTATAAAATAGAATCCTTGTTTGAAGTGGCAGATACATTTTGATTCGGCGGAACAGAGCGATACGTTTATTCAGATTAGAAGCTAGATTAACAATCACACCCAGCAATCTTTTTTATTCTACACTTTCAAGCATGGTATTGTTGTGATTCGTATGGAGTTCGGAAGACCCAATTTTCATAGATTTTTAATATGTACAAATCACCATTGATTTTGTGTTCTCGTAATAAATCACCATCCATTAAATGCGCTCCATTGCTCAATGTCTTCCATGGCAGACGAGAGTGTACAATTCGACTAGTTCACAGAATTTCCAATCGGAATCATCAGCATTTAGATCTAGGTTCTGGTTACTATGCTAAGGGAGATTGTGAACAAACAAAATAAATTAAGTGGTCCCACAATACTTCCTTGTGGTATGTCAAATGAAATGAGCTTTGGGATGAGAATATCAATGTTAATCATGTCAAAAGCTTTTAAGTGCATAAGAAACTTCTTCTTTAGGGACGGGTCATTATTTATGGTGTGAGTGGCACCAAACATAAATGTATTTCTTGGCAAAAATTTTGCTGATCCAACCATTAAAAAGTCAAATATTTTTTAGCCAACCCCAAATCTCAATTAAAAAATAAATACCCACCCCTGGCCAAAAACTTTACAAAAGGATACCATTCAGTTGTCACACATGTCCTTTAACACTTCTGTGACATGAGTTTGATAACTGCTTGTGCAATTTTCTGCAGTCTAAAGTTTCATGTTGTCTGCACATGTACTTTAGACACCATTTGTCTCTTAAAAATTGAAAAATGTGGCAGTAGTGGCAGTGGAATGAGGAGTGGGGCTAGGAGGGCTGTAGCACCCCAAAAATGGATAAGATTTGAAATTTTGAAGTTTATATATGAAAATTTGGTATTAAGTTGGAAATATGTTAGGTCTGGAAAATTTTTACCCCCCCCCCCCAACATTTCCAGAAAAATTATTGTTGGAGAATTTATGAAAGTTTGCCTCCCCAATATAATAACTGTTCCACCGCCACCGCTGTTGACTCAAATAGTCTTTAATTAATATTTGAGTGACTCGTAATTTGGAAATGACAATAACTTGGCATTAATATTTATCTTAAGATTATGATTTCCGCCCGGTTCATCTATCGCAAGTAAATTTTTATTACCCAACCCTTGAGTTGTTTTGTTTTTCATTTATTTCATTTCCAACATTTCATTTTGTTTCCCCAACCCTTTTCTCTTCGGCGCCACCCCCTGCCATAAATAACGACCTAAGTATTGTTTGCTGTTTGTTGGATTTTAGCCACGGAAAACCAGATTTTAACTAAAAAACAGATAATAACTGCTATTATAATTATTCTGATCTTTGCATTCTTTGCTTGGACAGAAAATCCCTGTCCTGTTCTAATCCATGTTGCAAACGTTTCACAGTTGTAGGAGATGATATCGTATTTTGGCCACATGCCTGGATGATTCCTGAGGTCGTTGAGCCTTCTGTTGATCGTGTCGTTGGAATTCGAAACTGGTGCTGTATTTCCGTAATTAACTTTATATATTGTGCGATCCACACCCCGTAAACGGAATGCATTTATCGAACATATGCGAGGGTTCGCATCCGCCTTGTTATACTTGTTTCCTCCGGCGAAGTGAATCACTTTACCATCGCCTAAATACACTCCGTGGTGGAAATAATACCTGTCAGGACTGACCAGAGGGTAAAGAAGCGTTAAAGAAGCATCTAAATTTTGTAATAAAGCTTTTACCGCAATTTGGGTTCCTGGAAACGGAAGGTATTTGAGTGGAACGTAGTTTATATGCCCCATCTTTGAAATGCAACAAAAAGAAGGCGGTCAGTACTTCATGTATGCTTATTATAAGGCGCGCCTGCTACGCGTGTGGTCACGCGTCACTGTTATAGCACATGAATTTTTCGTGATTCTGTAGCGCTTAAATTATTGGAAATATAATTTATAAAAGTTTATTTTTTACTTATCAGAGTATAGTTCTTTATAGGAGGTACAGTTCAATTTATTACAGCGCCCTATGCAAATATAGAAATACATGACGTCATATCCTAAATGACCGATAAATTCAGATAATAGCTGTCACTCTTTTTTTCGAAATTAATTTCAACCAAGGGAATCAATGCCGCATTATAGAAAACTTCAAGACTAACAGTTCTACAAAATATAAATATAATGCTATGTATTATAACGCTTATGCTAATTTAGCGTGAACAATGGGTATGACCAGCCTCGTTGTGACCAACCTCGTACCCAGGATCTTTCTTTGGGAAAGATGACAGACGGAGAGACCCTGGGAACGAGGTTGCGTTGTGACAGGGCCTTTTTTAAGGATTTTCCCGTGGGGGGGCATTTTTTGAAAAGGGACATTTCTGTGAGATAATATATTACAGGGAGATAGCAATGGCTGAAGGCCACGTGTGCGCCGAACATACCATGCACGCATGAATGAGGGGGGTGTACTCCCCCAGAAAATTTTTGAAATTTGAAACACGGAAATGCCATTTCCTGCATTCTGAGCATCCAAATGCGCTCCAAAATGTATACTAACTATATTTGTATTTGAAATAAAAGAAGGAAAAAATGCACAAAAAGTAAAAAAGAATATTAACCGTAATTTATCATTATACTTATTAGAGGGGGATACCAATGGCCGAAGGCCACGTGTGTAGGGGCATAATCTCCAAAAAATTTTTCAAATTTGAAACCTGGAAATGCTCTTTCCTGCATTCTGAGCAACCAAAAAATAAAAAATTATTAACAATAATTTATCATTACTTAGTGGTAGAAAAACGTAACAATTTAGATCGATTTTGTTAAACAAGGACAAAGGATAAAGCCTAAAACTTACTTTCCGTTTATTTATTTGTTATTTTTCGCTGTTTTGTTGGTATAAATTTAGGAAAAAGGGACTTTTCCTGGGGGGGGCAAAATGTGATTTCGTGGGGGGGCACAAGGGGGACTGGGGGGGGGGCAAATGTCCCCCCAGCTTGTATGTTTAAAAAGGCCCTGCGTTGTGAGACTTGTGATCAATTGTGAAAATTGTGATCAAAACGAAATAGCGCATCTCTGATAGGCTTCTAGTCTTTCTTCCTTTCCTTCAAACAAAGAAACAGGACCACATTGATAGCAGTTTTTTGTAACGGAAATGTTCGTGCATTTTTTTCCATAACGCATCGAGTCGCACTGTGCCCCAATCCACCCTACTTTATTATTTTACTCTGTCTAATACCAGGCAATTTTACTTGTCAAGGGGAGAGCGTGCTGGCGCTCAACGGGTTAATTTTTAATATGATTAATATTATTCTCTTTGTAACCCACGGGTTTTAAAGCTGAAGCTCAGGCTACCCGGGGGGTGCGGGGGTAACCCCACTTTAACTAACCCCGCCCCCTGCCACCACCTGACGCGAGCGAGATATAAATTCGCAAATCACCTTCGTGTCACTTTCTCTTGACCACATTCGAAGAAGAAGCTCGAGTAAATTGCACAATCTCGCAAGGAAATCACTTCAATAATGCCTGTCAAAGCTGTATGCGTCCTCAGAGGAGAGAAGATAAAAGGCACGATCAATTTGTGCCAGGAGGTGAGCAAATTAAAGCGATATTTTCAACTACGTTCTTGCTAAAGTCACGACCGATTCGCTTTGCATTTTGCAAAGTCCAAGCCCCATTATTGCTCTTTAGTTCGTATATGCGGGCTAGAATCGATTAAAAGAAGTGTAACTTAGACAGAAGATGCACTTTTGTACAATTTTTGTACAGTGTAAATTTAAATTCGAACTCGGATTGTTTTAAACATTTGAGCAATGCTGTACAAGGCACAAGTTGGTTGCAAGGATAGGTGATCTCAAATGGCGATTTACCCAGTAAATTCGGACGCGATTTAGTTGTTCCTACATGTTTTAATTCACAGATAAGCTATATTTTTTGTAGTATTTAGGATTTTTGCACTGATGAGTATGTTTAATGGCTTATATTGGCAAGGACTTATTTATAGAAGTTCTATAAATTTTGTACATATTTTGTACAGCAATTGTAGTAGATTCCTTGTTGATGTATCATTGCATGCTTGAATAGTCACTCATATTGCGCATTGCAGTTCGACTCTTGATAATTTTTAGCTTGATAGAACCAGTGCTTTTCCTTTGACGAGTAAAATTGTCTGCCATTAGACGGAGTAAGATAGAGATGCACCGATATCCATTTTGGTGTATCGGTATCGGCTTATTGGTACTAAAATAGAAATATCAGTATCGGTAATATTGTTGTTGATATTACCGACATTATAAACAGTTTCTAAATATTAAAGGTGATGTAAAGTCCGTTCTGTGAATATGTTCTGCGCACGTCAACATTCCAAGGGTCGGTACCTGACCATTGGAATGTTATTAATATTTCGCACCTTCCAAACTTTCTTGAATTGAATCTCTAGTCTGTATTCATTTACAATTCATTTACATCACCTTTAATAGTTTAATGATTGGTTATAGTTACAGTTCAATAGTTATTTTTCTTACAAATAAACAGTCACTAGGTCACAAAGTTAGGAAATGAACTGGTCATTATGGGTTCTGTAATGGTTAAGTAGATATTTCAAAATAGAACATAGATTACCAGCATTATGATTTTTTTCTATTCGTGCTTAGAAGCCAGATGGCGAATGCTGTATCACAGGTTCTGTAGAAGGTCTTTCTGAAGGAAAACATGGCTTCCATATTCATGAATTTGGTGATTATACAAATGGTAAGAATATTTCTTGAATTTCAAATCACTAGCGACATAGACTGCGAGCAGTCCCTCTGGAGAAAGGAGGGACTGCTGACAACACTTAAAGAAACATTAAAATATGCCCACTTTTAGTGACTTTTCGCTCTTGTCAAGTTGGCTCCGCTTTTCATAAACATTACTTATATCCAATTAAATGTATCCAATAGGAACCGTTAATGTCATGTTTATTTATAAAATCAACGTTCAGTCTGGAAATTATAGCATAATTACTATGTATCAGATTTGATAGGCGTATCGATTTTGACCAATGGGAATTTTGCGTTGTGTGGGCGATGCATATTTCTTTTCTTGATGTCTTGTCGGCAGTCCCTCCTTTACTTTCACATGCCCGGAAATCTGTCATTAGCAGAAAATAGACAACAATTATCTCAAAAACCTTTTAAAAAATTAAGTCGACTAGTGGTGATCGTCTGTCGTATATAATACCAGAAACCAGATTTCAGAAACATGACCGAAAACTTCGAAACAGTGAAAATCTGGATATTTTTTAATGCAACAAATCGGTTTAAAAACAGTTTTTCCCCAACTAATGTTAGTTACTGCAACTCAAATAGATAAGCTCAAAATATTTTTAGACATTTTATAGCAGTATAGTAAGTTGTAAATATATTATATTATATTTATATGTATATATAGATTTTGGATTTTCTAGATGTAAATGTAAAGTAATTCACCAATTGGTGCCATTTTACATAATAATAAACCATCATTATTATTATTATTATTATGATTATTATTATAAACCTATTATTTTACATAAATTGCATAACAATAAATTAAGGTGTGTTGCACCTAGCATATGTACAGACTATATTATATGCTGTAATGCAGTGTATGAAAATTTGTGGCATTGTTTATCGACCCCCAGCTGCACTACCCAGATCCGGTTAGCTGATTGTCATTGGTCACAACTGAACTTAATAGATTCTGATTGGCTTGATATTATAATATCAACGACCGTTGGACTTCGATTTTCAAAATCGAAATTATAGTATTTTCTTGATACTTGATGTTCTCTGTCTAATGCCGGATGGTTTTACTCGTCGAGGGGAGGGCGCTGATGCTCAATGGGTTGACGACAGTACTGTTCGTTGTTTTTAGGCTGCACCAGTGCTGGTGGCCATTTCAATCCCTTCAAGAAGAACCATGGTGGACCGTCTGACGCAGAAAGGTTTGAAATTCTCACTGTCATGATTTATATCTAAGGACGGATGTTAGAGGTGTGCATCCGATTAGATTGGCCTCTTTGAATCCGAAATTTTTGTCCACATTCGGAATCCGAATCTAATCCGGTCCGAAGCCGAATAAACGTAATTCGATCCAATTGGAAAAAATGTAATCAAATCTGATCCGATCGGAAAAATTGCAATCCAATCCAACCTGAAATGACGTAACCGTAATCTGATCTAAAAAAGCGTACTAATGTTACATATATAACTTCAATTATCTACCAGCATACACGTGAACAAAATTGTACAACGGCAGAAATGCTCATTGAGAATGTTTTGTGAATGTAAAGCCAACAAAGAAACATAATTACATTTTGTTTGAAAATCGGCCATAGTAATTGCTATTTAAAACCCTCTAAATTTGATAAAAAACCTATACCCTCATTCAATAGCAAACAACAGATTATGTTTTAGAGAAACTCAGATGTTAAAGCAAATCATTACAACATTAGCAATAGTCATATAATCATATTGAATAAATCTAGAAATGTCGAAGTAGTAAATGTCTTTTCCCAAGAAGGAGCATGTTTTTGAGTTTTTATATTATATGATGGTCAATTGCAGTTCTAGCCGACCGCTCATTGTACCATGTCCTCGTATTTTTGGACCAGGAACTGGTCCCCAATCGCTACTAATCTTGTTGTTGGGGGCGACGCTCTTTGAAAAAACCAAAAAAGGCTCCGTCATTACTTGTCTGATGGGAATGAAATTTGACACAATTATTCTAAGCAATTTTCCGCATCGATTGACGGTGTTCGATTTTTCATTTTTGACTTTAGGAGCAAGATACAAGCAATTTTTGACTGTATTCGTAGCCCCATACACGGCACGTACATGACTGTAGCTGCAATATTTTGCAATTAATGGCACGCACGGCACGGCAAAATTTGATGTACGGCAAAAGTTAGCTGACTTAATTAGGCACGGCATGTTTATTCTAAATATTGTGGGACATTTAACTGATCTATCAAATTCAAATGCGAGGAAATACTTTTGAAAACTGCGCTTTTAGTTATCTATGCTTTGTCCAGATTTACACCTCATTTAGGCTATACACGGCACTAGGTTGCCAACTTCGAGAACATTAGTTTTACAAGTGTCTAGCTATTTGTTTATCGAAGGTTTTGAACGTTTAACAATTTGCATAAGATCGAAACTGGGTCACACAGTTCCCGGTCCACTATAGTACGATCATACTCGTTTTTTCAATCGCCACAATTACCAGAAGGAATAATCTGAGATGGTATTTTCCAGACATGTTGGTGATTTGGGCAATATTGAAGCGGATAGCAAAGGTGTTGCCAAAGTTGACATAAAAGACAGTCTTGTCAAGTTAAGTGGCGAACATTCCGTTATTGGACGTTCTATTGTGGTAAGTTTGACTCGCCATATATTCTTCAAACAGAACCAGTATCAACCGACATAGGTCGTTGTGCAAAAAAGTGCATAGAAAAGCAATTTCCGTCGGCCCCCTTGGAGAATAGATTTTTTGTGTTTCAATGCAGGGGTGGAAAAATATTTGTTCTTTCTGGGAGCCTGGGTTGAAGGCTAGAAATTTTCTGTAAAATTTGCAATGTTACAATTACAAAAATAACAAAACAAATGCATAATTATTGTATTATTTGTACTTTAATTCGTAATAATAGGCTTTAGGCTGGGTTTTTTATGCTCGTACATCACAATAGTTGTCTGTTACTTCAATGCATAGTATCATATAGATGTCCATTGACGACTTGTGCTTTAGACTAAATTTTAATCTAAGTAAGAACAACGAAATGTATCACCACAGCGAGAAAGAGCGTCTTGGAATTAGTAATATTACAAAGTTTGGTTGCGAAATGTTGTAAAATACGGAAAATATAGCCCTTCAAAGTTGGCAATTTTTTTACCAATTTCCGCACGTAATAGAAATGTATACAAATTTGCCAACTTCGCAGGGCTATATTTTCCGTATTTTACAACATTTCGCAACCAAACTGCAGTTTTTCTAATTTAGATAACTTCTTTCCGAAAATATCCTTTGTTATTCCCAGATTAAAAATTTTTCTAAAGCGCAAGTCGTCCATTACCAAAAAAGTTCCCAAGCAAAACACTTGCCTAATACTGAGAAAATGGGCGATGGACAATGTAGATTTATAGTTCTTTTCTAATATATCCCCGGAAATAGCTTACTTCTACAATTTTATCTTTTTGCATGCCCATTGTGGAAAGCAGCTTAAAGGACATTGGCAATAAACAATCAGTTTGTCTCGTTCAAAAGAACTCTAAAATTATATATAGTTCTCGAAATATTTAGACCGAAATTAATGAGCTGTCGCCATCTTGGACTAATTCTTGACCTCATTAACTATGGTTTTGGTGACGTCAGGAGTTGGGTTAACCATATAAAACTACTCTAAAATGACCGAGTAACAATCCAAAATTGTTTGAAATGTTTTTAGTCATTTCTAAATTTCAGACAGCAACCAGAAACGAAGTTTTGGACCCATATTGATCGCTTACTCTCAAGATAATAAATTAGCGTGACCCCTCTCTTGACGTAACATGCATATCCTCAATAATCCAAGATGGCGAACCGGCTCACTTACATATAATCTGATAAGATATAATCTGTAATAGAGTATAATATATAGTTTTAAGAGTTGTTTCAAATGAACTAAACTAATTTTTTATTGCCGATGTCCTTTAAGTCAGGCACCTCTCGAAGTACAGAAAAATTATCACAACCCGTACACCCGATCACCTATATATACATGAACTTACGGTTACAGCTCAACAGCTGGCCTCTGTAGCTCAGTTGGTTAGAGCGCTGCACCGGAATCGCAGGGCCGTATGTTCAATTCCTACCAGAGGACCTTGTGCTGCATTTTTCGCAGTCGTTCCTGGTCAGGTCTTAAAATGTATATATATACTCACTTGGATTACAAACCCTAAGAACAGCATTCAAATATTAATACCACCAAGTGAAGTGCAAGAAACCAGATCACAGAAAAAATATGGCCTGCCAGTCTAAATTTTTTTGGCAGGTGAAATAAACGACGGTCTCGGGTCCACAAAACACACTGTTTCCCTCGGTCTCAGTAAATAAGTGATAAATATCTCTGGAACAAACCATAAAAACAAGAAACTGAAAAATAAGTTACACTACAGCTTAAAGAGTTCTTTCATTTAAGAAAAGAAGAAATTTCATGTCATATACATTATACACTTCAAGTTGTGACATGTCAGCGAGTTTAAATAAAGCTTTTATATTTTTTTCTACATGTATAGGTACATGAAGGCGTTGATGATCTTGGCAAGGGCGGTCACGAGGACAGTTTAACCACGGGTCATGCCGGTGGTCGTCTCGGGTGTGCTGTAATTGGAATTTCTAAATAAACATTCCTAGATCCAGGAATCTGATGTGCTTTGCTTAGTAGCGAATTCTGACAGACACGCAATGTTGTAACACATATTCATGCATGGTTAGATTATTATAGGCATGTTAATATGTTAAGAAACAACTGATCCATTGAAATTGTAAGTCTAGATTAAAACTCGTAGTAGTAATAATAAATCTATCTTGACGAACACTTTTGTTTTGTATTTCACCAGAGATGTTTCAATTAGCCATTTCCCAATCGAACCGAGGACTGGGTCTAGTCGCTTGTTTGGAGGGCCAAAAAATAAACAATATGCCGAATATGGTATCTAGGAAGTTTTCCTACATTCCTAAAGTTATTTGTGCAGCCTGAAACGCAACAATTATAATAAGGCATCTTTTAATATATATTTAGCTCGCTCACATTCTCGTACCCAGAGCCCTTCTTACGCGCGATGCGACGAGGGGCTCTGGCCAAATCCATATTCCGAACTGGCATCTTGATTGGCTAGTTCTAACACCGGACATTGTTTTCTTACCCAATCTCGTACCCAGAGCAATGCCTGTGCGCGGGTTAGGATGGCATTGGCTCTGGGGAAATTGACAACCGGAACCCCTAAATTTAGGGGTTCCGGTTCTTTGTCGGCATGCACGATTGATAAACGTTAAACCAATCACAGCACAGGAAAAATTCAATTTCCCCAGAGCCAATGCCATCCGAGCCCGCGCATAGGCATTGCTCTGGGTACGAGATTGTTTCTTACCGGTTATGGATTTGGCCAGAGCCCCTCGTCGCACCGCGCGTAAGAAGGGCTCTGGGTACGCGAATGGCTCGCTCACTATAACTCGTTGTCCCTCCAAACATCAACTAGACCCAGTCCTCTGCTCGATTGGGAAATGGCTAATTACGATTACTCAAGGCAGTCAGCGGATTACTGGCCTCACTTATAATACAGGGTGTCTAAAAAAGTGACCCTTTAGAAATTCACCTGATTGATATAATTTGAATGCCGGACTTAACTGCGCAGACACAATCGAATCAAAAACGATCGATCTAGTAAGTTCATTGCGAAGTAATTTTCAAAAAATATGTTGTGTAAGTCGAGAAAATCAAAGTTAAAGTTTATGTAAATCAAGGGAAATCTCTATCACATATAAAGATACGACACGCTTATGATTTGTCTTTTCCTCATTAATGAGTTTGAAACTTGGTTATTTAAAAGTTTTTGGCATCGTTCAACGTTGTAACATTCTTGTTATATCATGATTGTACCGGACCTGTTGGAACAACCTTGCAATAAGTCTCAGTAATGCCATCAAGCTTAACAGCTTGTTCCAAACTTGTTACAAGAACTGGGAACAAGCAGTGCGAACACAACATGTAGCAACTTGTGCGGTTTTACGTGTGTATTCCCCATACAAGCAATGTTCCAACAAATTGTCAACAGGATGTGTTTGTGCACTACTTATTCCCAGCTTGTTGCCAACTTGTTACAAGGTTGTTGAGCTCGACAGACTTGTTACAAGTTGTTCCAACAACTTGTTACCATCCTTCAATTCAACAAGTTGTGAGTGACAACCTTGTAGCAACTTGATAAAATAACAGCGTCGTTACAACTTGCTACAAGCCTGTTGCGAACACATTTTGTTGACAAGTTACGAGATTTTTACGTGAGTAGCCGGGACAGTTGCATGAAACGCGCTGACAACAGCCACGAACTATAATCCTAGCCAACACTTTCCCAAGATGACTGTAGTATATTTTGCCGACACGAATTTCAAAAATTTATGTACGAAATTAAACAAACTCGTTTCACATTTATTTTATCCAAAAACACACATTTTAACAATATGAACCATATATTAAAGTACACCTAACCTCAATTTTTTTATCATCTCATTTTTAAGAATTTTTGAAATGATAATGGAACTTATTTTGAAGATTTTCGCACTTTTTTCCAAGAGAAAAGGGTTGGGTAAACAAAATTTTGAGTGAGTAAAAGGTTGGGTAAATGAAAAACAAAACAACTCAAGGGTTGGGTAATAAAAATTTATTGTCATTTCCAAAGCATGACTCTCTCATATATTGATATACTCTCTCATATATTGAAGACTAAAAAGCAACAGTCACTCGATCTCGAATAGCGCGCGCGCGAGATCGTACTTACGAACCGCGAAAACTGGAAAGGACTTTGGGAAAGTCTAGTCAATACAGTATGTAAATCAATCAGAGTCACTATCTTGATCATTTTCTGATTTGTCAAGAGGCAAATGGTGTCTCCAAAGAAAGTACATGTGCAGACAACATGAAACTTTAGACTGCAGAAAATTGCACAAGCAGTTATCAAACTCATGTCACAGAAGTGGCAAAGGACATGTGTGACAACTGAATGGTATCCTTTTGTAATGTTTTTGGCCAAGGGTAGGTATTTTTTTAATTGTTATCTGAGGTTGGGTAAATTTGTTTCGGAATTTTTAATGGTTGGATTCATGAAACTTTTTACCAAGAAAAGCAAACCTCTTCGGCACCACCCCCTATCATAAATAATGGATGGTCTCATTTATTAAGAAATAAAGTTAGGTGCTCTTTAATTAATATACCATGGTACAATGGAAGGCATTATTATACAAGATTTAAAGTCTGCAACTGTCTTTTAATAACTTTGCAACTGTTGTTAACTCTCTTGAGTCTAAAGTGAAAGAAAAATGAGATCAGAAAATATAAGTAGACATTTCTTTTGAGCACAGGAATTCAATGTTATATATTTTGGAATTTGCAACAATCTGCTTACCACTTGATCGTCACCAGCTGGTTCGTATTGTTGAAGCTATAAAGAATTAAAGATTATCAATCAAATCAATGATAAAATGTATTGAGCATGCTATAATTACTGCTGTGGCTTGCTTCTAAAGGTATTAGAGAGGTGTCCGCATTAGAGAGGTGTGTCTGTATTATAGAGGTGTGTCTGTATTATAGAGGTGTGTCTGTATTATAGAGGTGTGTCTGTATTATAGAGGCGTGTCTGTATTAGAGAGGTGTGTCTATATTAGAGAGGTGTGTCTGTATTAGAGAGGTGTGTCTGTGTTGGAGAGGTGTGTCTGTGTTGGAGAGGTGTGTCTGTATTAGAGAGGTGTGTCTGTATTAGAGAGGCGCGTCTGTGTTGGAGAGGCGCGTCTGTGTTGGAGAGGCGCGTCTGTGTTGGAGAGGTGCGTCTGTGTTGGAGAGGTGCGTCTGTGTTGGAGAGGTGCGTCTGTATTAGAGAGGTGCGTCTGTATTGGAGAGGTGTCTGTATTATAGAGAGGTGTCTGTATTATAGAGAGGTGTCTGTATTATAGAGATGTGTCTGTATTATAGAGATGTGTCTGTATTAGAGAGCTGTTTCTAGTAGAAAGTTGCAAGCCATAAGAGACAATTTCTCCTTACTCTTTGTCGTAACTCTTCATTCTCTTTTGTCAACTGTGCATTTAGGTTCTGTATTTGTTCCAAATTTAACTTTAGTTCCTCAACGTCGGCAGTCTGGGGTGGGCCACTTTGAAGGAATTGACCCAAATAGCTGAGAATTAATTGTTAAGGAATTGATCACACTAACCAATGAAACATGGAATGCTACTCAATGCATTAACAACAAACAATGGTTGAACATTAACCCATTAAGCTGCAGAGCTTCCCCATTGACGAGTAAAATCGTCTGAAAAAATAGGTGCAAAAAAAATAGGGCGCATTGCGGCTCAAGGGGTTAAACACCAAAAATTGCTGCTTCATGACAAGTAAAATTGCCTGGCATTAAAAACAATAACATAAACACAAAAAATTGCATGACCACAGTGGGACATATTGGGATACAATGCAACTTTAAAGGATACTCAAGGGCATTTGTTGGCTTCTCTGGTTCTTCATATAACGACACCAAAACTAAAAACATCAAAATGGGACATTTTAATAAACTTGAAAGGTGAGTTCACTTAATATCAAAAGGGCTAGGAAATCTATACATAAATGGCTGGACACCCTCCGGACCCTTGTATGACCGGTTGGTTATGCAATGCTACATACGAGTTGTACCTTTGGTTATGGCATCTAGTACTCCAGCCTTTTCAAGGTACTTTCTGAACTCTTCTCGTTTAGAATCGGCCACCTGAAATTACAAATAATAAAGATGTTGTTTGAATTCTATTTTACAGATTTTGCCATTTAACACAAACTATTACACAAAATTAGTTACACAATAGATTACATGGCTGGAATTGCCACACAGAGATTAGTTCTCCAAAAACGGGGTTCCAAGATATTCGAAATTGCACAGTATGGACAATAACAGGCTTTGTAAACAAACAGACAGACTTGAAGATCGACAAACAAGCACAACAAATTACAATCAACAACATGCTCGATTCGGCGAGTTGGGTGACATTTCACACAAACAGACTTACAGTCGATTTCACAAAACGTTGACCACGAATGTTCCGAACTTCGTTGCGAAGTTCGCAAGTTCATTTTGGAATTCACAAGCCAATTTGTAAACAAAGTCCCTGATTGGTCCCTGAAGTAAAATAAGCCAATCAAATGAGACCTTTACAAATTGGTTTGTAAATCTCATTATGAACTTTTGAACTTCGCAACGAAGTTCGGAACATTTGTGGTCAAAGTTTCGTGAAATCAACTGTAAATGTTCTCGGATCTTCAGGATTATAAATTTCCTTGGCGAGATCCTTATAATGTTGCAGTAAACAAAATTTGAAAGAGACCATGGTTTTGTTGGTTTCTCTGATCAAACAGGGAGTGTATTCCACACGTTGGCAACTCTAACGTAGAAGCTGTTTTGGAAGCTCATCGTCTTGCACTTGGCTATTTCAAGTAAGATGCCATTGGTTGCATTAGTACTTCGTGTTTCTTGAGTAGGAATCTTGATAATGATATACACTTGAAAATTCGGCCTAAGGCTCCCTCATCAGGCCTCATGCACCACCCCATGGAAAACCTGCCCCCTCCTTGCAGATGAGGCTAGATCTGCCCCTGATAATGGTAATAGACTATCATATCAGACAAATATTAGATGCAGTTTGTCAAATTAACAGAAGTATATTCCGAGCCATTTAAACATGCTAAAATAAATTTAAAATGCCGAATAAATTTCAGTCCATTTGAAGCAAATCCTCGGTAGCAGAGTGGTCAAGGCATTTGCCTTGTTCGCGCTGTCGTCCGGTTCAAATCTGGGAAGGAATTTGAATATCCACGGCCAATAAACTTAGCCCGCCATTCAACAATTTCAAAATTCTATGGTACCGAACGGAGCATTAATCGCTATTATTTATCACAAAACAAGAGAAGGATAAAAGAACATTATATAAATACCTTGTATTGTGTCTGATTCATCTTTTACAAACAGAAATTTTGGAAAAAAATATTTGAATTTCTTGTTTGTGATTTTCTGTTCACAACAAAATGGTTGCCATATGTTGTTGAGCCTGCGTTTTGTAAGCGGTGATGCTTGTTACTTCATTTAAGATGACACTAAATTTGATTATTGGCTATTTTTGATTGAATAAATCAATCGATAAATTAAGAATTTTCCTAATCAATCACAGCATTTCTTATGAGTTTATTATTTTTATAGTTCAGGTAACACTTGATCAATAGGAGATGATCCTTACTGGACCTTTAGGAAGAACAGTTCAATAGAACTGATAGAACTATCCAGTATAAATAAAGTTAGTAAAGGGGCAGTGTCACCGTCTGCGCATCTCTTCTGCGCATAGCAAACTTTCAAATTAATGAATCAAGATGGCGGCCATTTACGAGTGAGTCCATTGCAAGATAGGCAAAAATTGCGGCACATATAGGTACATACAAGGCTGATGAAACTCTCAAAATACTACGATAGGCAGCACAAAAGCTTATAACGACTCCTGAATATATTTGAGGCAAAAACCATGATAAATCGGGACGTAAACCATTCACGTTCACGAAGCGATATCAATTTCGCTGTCGTAAAAGGTAAAATAATTGAATTCATAAATAAGCTAAATCAATTTAGAAATATATAGCATAGGTGTAGCGATTTCAGGCATTTGTAGCAACAACAGCGAACGACTTAGAGCCTCAGACAAATCATAGTCGAACTATAAACTTTGCTGCAATTTGGCAGCTAGTGCTCAAGATTAACTGAGGGCATCTATGTATATAAATGATAAGGAAAATCCCAAAATGATACTGTAAAAGTAGAACAAGTCATTAATGTTCTTCGAACAGACATGAAGACTGACCAGAAATATTGTTCAATATTAGGAAATGTTCATACATTGTAATTCTTAATATGTATATTGGACAATGCCACATGTTGCATGGCATGTTATGTAGCTCACTTTACCAAACGTTGGCAATGAAGAGCCCAATTGATACCTTTATCCTTATTCGCTTTAAACACTACCCGTACCTCCTTTTTCAATTTTGTGGCTATTCAGTTTGGTCTCAGTGCTAGACCCAGCATGGTTAAAAGTATTAACCAGAACACCAACATTGAAAAGGGAGCAGTGGTGATATTACTAATATGTACATATATGATAAAAAATACCCTAAGGAATATTGCCTACAAATACCCACCTATTTATTTATTATTTCCATCCTTAGCAAGGTCATATGATATGGAACATATAAACCAGGGAGGCAATAGTGCTCAGGTTCTAGCTGTGCTGAATTTAATCAACTTTTGCTCACTCACAACTAACAACTACAGAAGAAATTGTGAATTATAGAAGAGCAGAATTGCCAAAGAATAACTGGACGTCCTGCAGTGCAATGTCTCCGATAGTAATTACCACACAATAAATGAACCACTGAGAAACATCAACTTTATTTAGTCTATATTATAAGCAAGTAAAATATTCCCAAACATGCACTTCTACCTATATTTAAAAGTGTATCAAATATCATAGTGTCAGGAAATTGCTTTATATGACCAGCAGGAAGTCAATATTTTGAAAACTAAAATGATCATGAGATGATGGAAGTGATTATTTTGTAAATGATATGATGTGGGTTGCCTGCCAACAAGAAAACGCAATCCTTGAAACCTCAGTATATCAGCAACTCAATATAATTTTTGTACAAATACATATTGAATAAAAAATTAATTGTGTATTAATAGTTATTGCAATAAATAAACTTTTAGTTGAATAGGGACATCCTCACCTACTACACTTGCCAAATGACCATGTTGAGGTTAGTATGATATGCTAA